CCCTTCATTTCACACAGTTCTTCCATTCTTCCTTCTACATTTTCTTAGAATTCCTCTTTTAGAGCCCCTCCAAAGCATTTTCGGAGTTTCTGAGTGTTTTAAGAGAGTTTTTATAGCAAAAAAGTGGCATTGTAGAGCGAAGGGCTGCCAAAGCGCACCCTATTTTTCACGAGAATTAATCAAAGCTTGCTTCGGAGGTTTATTCATTCTCCCTCTCTCTCTCTCTCTCTCTCTTATCGCTTTATTATTTATATATGCATTAGGGTCATGTAGTTATCATTTTTTTATTCCGCAAATAAAAGGGTAAAAGCGTTATTTCAAAAGTTTATTTATAAAAATAACTGGCCCATTATAGGGAACCCGAAAGGGGCGTCGTAGGGGAACTAATACCTCCCTTACACGTAACTAACTCCCTTACCCAACTCTGGTTTTAACGAACAAAGTTGGTTTTTCTTAAAAAACCAATGCCTTTTTCGATGTTTCTGGTAAAAACATTGGTGATGACTCCATAAGGACCCTCTCAATCTTGCTCTTAGGTCAGCTCGATTATCGGATGATCTTTTTGAAAATCTCACCCTTAGGTTCAGCCCGGTTATCGGACAACCTAAAGGCGTTGTAACTCCACCCATATTAAATGCAAAAAATGGAAAGTCGGAACCATCGCGTCGCTCCGACCGCCCCTCTTTTGACGCCGGCGACAATCAGAAATGAAAAACAATTTTCTCTCTGTCATAATTGATTATATTGGTAACATAATCAATTATGGTAGTTCAAATTTGAAAAATATATCTGTTTTGAAGAATAAATGTTTTTTAATACACCTTGATTTTTCTCTATGAAATTATTAATGACCAACGACTATTTTCTGATGCTATCTTTCTATTTAATTAAGTTTTGATGGAAAATAAAAAACACACAATTACCGAATTCGAAAATACAATTTACATTCAATCAGTTTTGAGAAAAGAATTTTGAGCAAGACAACAGAGATATATTTTATATGTTTTGAGAAAACCTTTTTCTCTATTGTCTACTGTGCTTTCATTGTTAATCACACTTGTTCTTGGAGGTTGGTATTCTACAGGCTTCTACAATTTGTTGTCTCCATTACCCAGGTGTGACTGTTCTTATTTTATTACCTTCATCCTTTGTGGGTTTAAGTGGTTGATTTCCCTGTTTAGGGTTTAAGTAGTCACTATCATTCTGTTGTGTTTTTTTTAGGATTTCCTGTGTGGAAACTGTTTGTCCCTTTTATTTGTTCATGGAGGTGTTTTCATCTTTTGATTTATTTAGAAGAGGTGTTCATCCCTAGTGGGATTCTAGAGAGGTGTTCATCCTTAGTGGGTTTCTAAGGAGGTGATTGTCTTTTGAATTAGTTTGTTTTTTGTTGAGTTGATTGTAATTTGTAAACTAAATTTAAAAGATAGTAAATTGGGGTCACTCTTGTGTTAAGAGTTGACTCGGAACTGGATCTAGGGTTGATTATACTCGAACCAGTATCAACCACTGTGTGCTCTTCTTTTTTCCTTATCTCTTTTTCACTGAATTACTCTCCTTACGCCCATTATTTTTATCTCTATCTTTCTCTATCTTGTTGATATTTTATCTCTCTGATTATATTGATTTCACTTTATCTTTGTTCAATTTGATAATTAAAATTGAATTAATAAATATTAGACATCGTAAAATAAATTTTTAATTTGACATTTATTTAATTTGTGTATTTATTCACCTCCCGCTAAATGTCATTTGTCTAACAGAAAGCATTTCCACTAAATTATAAATCTTTTTTCAACTCTCTTAACTATTTATTTAATGACATCACTAAGATCCATTAGATTTAAATGTATTTCAACATCTAATATCTAAGATAAGTAATTATTTCTCGTAATATCAAGTGCCACAAATTTAGGTTACGAGAAATTGAATTGTGTATTATGAAATTAATAAAATGCAAATATATTTTAAAATTTAAAAATTAAACTGTTGAAATAAGAAAAAATAAGAAGAAGCACAGTTACTTGTTTGAAATTGTAGAGTTTTGATAAGTTGTTATAAAAGATGATCCGAAACAAATATAGAAAGAAATTAAATAGAATAAATAGTTTGATTTACTTGGATTTGATCACGTAAGTATCTATTTATAAATACAAAATATAACTAAAAAAATCCTTTAAATATTATAATTACTTAAATTATATAAATAATAATAATAATAAAAATTAATAAAACTAATAAAAATAGAATGGATATCAATAATTATTCATAATAAAAATTATATACTTGTAATTTTTACAAGATATCATAAATTAAGGTACATAAAATATTTTTTATATATGTTATTTTAATATTTTTATATTTAACTAAGTTCCGACGTAATTACGAAATATAAATTTACGTGATATGCTAAAATTTACATCAATTGTTATTATAATCAAACATAAATTTATCTTTATCTTGTGAGATCGTTTTCTTCTCATTTGCCTTGAACTCTTATGGTGGTATCTCCTTTATCTTATGGAGACATTTGTCGTAATTTTAAAAATTTTATCATATTTTTTTATCGGATAATAATTAATGTAATGAGATAAATTGACGTAAAAACACATATTTTACGTAATAATATAATGCAAACTACGGACAAAAAGTGTTTCTTCCTGTCACCACCCTAATCAAGTCAAAAATCAATGTCAGCTTTATTTTTTTTCCCAATCCTCTGCTTCAAAACATGCACTAATTATCCACCACAACATCATAAAACCAATCAGACATGACTTTTTCTTCCTTGTACCCAATGGAAATATTAATGCCGTAGAGAACCTGCGTGTAAAAACATAGCAGACAACAGCTTTTTTTTCTTTTCTTTTTTTTACGATAATTCATAAAAGATTAAACTAATCCTGTACATATCACTGTCACCCTCCAATCATCTCAAATCCCCTCAAAACAGATCCCTTCTCTTACCTCTGTCCAGAAATATAACTCATTAATCTTAACAAACAATTTCTTAGAATTAACTTTTTTTTCCCTAATATTAGAAAAACGAAATTTTGAAGAAAAATTATATTAAATAGTAAACTATTTTTATTAAATTTAAAATTCACCACGAATTCAAACAATAATAGATACTTATAATGTTTTATTCTCATTCGACTAATAAGTTCTTAAAGAGTTTTGTCATATTATCTTAAAAGGTTTAATAATCGTGAAAGAAATAATTTCATCAATAAATATTTCATCTTTTATTTAACTTTGAATTGATTTAATTTAATTTTTCCTTTATTAATATTTTTTTATCAAAAATTAATAAAATAAATCATACTTCAAATAGTATTTTAAAGTATTACATATATATATATATATATATATATATATATATATATATATATATATATCTTTAACCTATTTCTAAAATTTGGGTGAAAAAATCTTTTATTAATACGAGAAAAGTCATCAATTTTATTTGTTAAAATATAGAGTCTTTTCACTTTTTTTTATTATAACTTTTTGTATATTTTTTTATTATAGTTTTATATTAGATAAAATTATATATAATTAATTATGATATTTATATAATTAATTTATTTTTATATTCAATTTAAAAAATAATAATATACATGTTAAATTAAAAAAATACTAATTTATTCATTTATATTTAGTATTATTTTATATTTTAATTTTAACACATTATATATATATATATATATATATATATATATATATATATATATTAATTTGGATTTAGTTTTAGTTTCGATTGATACTTGACTATCAAACGAAAACCGAATCGAATTAATTTTAAAATTTCCAATCTACAAAATAAAATAAAAAATATATTATTGTATTTATAGTTTTAAGTATCACAAAAAATTGATAATATATCGATTTACAGTTTGATTTTTTATTATAAGAAAATTATTGGGTTCAAGACTTTCTCTTAGTTCGGATTAGGTTATATACAGTTCCTCTCCTCTCAAAAATCTCTTCTTTTTGTTTCAAAAAAATATATATGGACATGAAATTAGATTTGAAATCAAGTTGGTAACATTTTAAAAATAAAATAAAAATAATATTGTTACGTATATATAAACAATATTTCAGAAATTTAGAATTGAAAATTTGAATTGTTATTGATTGGACCATTACTTTTTAATGTGACAACGAAGTGTGGTTCAAATTTCTGGATGACCATTTTCATGTAAACAAAATCCAGTAAAATTGATAGTCTCTATCATATCATCATTGATGGTAGGAGCCGGTTCATTACCAAATTTATCTGTCAGGACCGAGTTCAGTACTACTACATTAATAAGGGCCAAATTCGTCATAGTATTGCAATTTATTATTTTAATTCAACCTTATATATATATATATATATATATATATATATATATATATATATATATATATATATATATATATATTTAAATTGTCTTCACGATTTTAAATTAAATTTTTAAATCAAATTTTATATTTTAAAGTTTTATTTAATATTTAAAAAATTAATCAAATAAATAAATTATTATTAACTAGACTTTTTTTCATAAATAATACTTGTTTTCAAAAATATTTACCAAAATAGCACCTCTGTAACTTTATTTACACAACTAGCACGTTATTCTTGTTCACGTAATAAAATAATATTATTTCGCGCAACTGTTTATTGTTCACGTATTAAAATAATATTATTTCGCGTACTGAACTCTCGCTCAAGCGAAGAAAACCTTCGCTTGAGCGAGGAAATCTGTAACGAAGGGGTAAATTCTCGCTCAAGTGAAGAAACCCTCGCTTGAGCGAAAAGTATGATCGATTATTATCCAATTATAGTCGATCACTTTGACATATATGACTTTAGATAGCGGTTATTTGCCCAACCGCTATCTAAACTACTACATTAGAAAGCGATTAAAGCCTAACCGCTATCTAATATATATTTTTAAAAGCGGTTGTTATCAACCGCTATCTAAGGTGACTCAAGCGAAAATCACATCGCTTGAGCGATGACACCTGGAAAAATGGGGGATTCTCGTTATATCCACCAATGCATTGGTCAGAACTACCTTCATTTTGTGACATTCTCTTCTTCACACTGTCGACCACCTGTTGGACCTTCAGAAGCATCTCTCCTGGATACAGAAGCCTCCTCCGTGGATGACTCCCATTTTTTTGTTACAATCTGACCTTCCTCAATATCCGAGCTTTCTTTCTGCCCTTGATCTTGAAGGCTCTGGACCCATTTCTTAATTTGGAGGTTGCTCTCGTATTTTGGGGCGTCAAATTTGATGACACTTTTATTAGATTGAGAAAAAGCCATTGGAGCTTTCTTAATAATGTTTTTAACTGATATAGTTTTAAAAGAAACGATTAAAATCACTTAGCATGTTTAAAGAAGTGTTTTTACAGTATTTTAATCAATACAAACTTCTTTTAATCGATTAAAACCACTTTGGAAGTCAGGATGATCGATCAGAATGAAATTATGATCGATCAAAATGAAATTATGACCGATCAGAGTTGGTTATGATCGATCAGAATTGAATTATGACCGATCAGACCTATTTCAATCGATTAAAACGAATTTCAATCGATTAAAATGACTTAAAAATTTTTGTACAGAGTTTCAATCGATTAAAACGCATTTCAATTGATTAAAATAACTTGGAAAATCTTTGTACAGAGTTTCAATCGATTAAAACGCGTTTCAACCGATTAAAACAACTTAGAAAAATTCTGTGCAGGTTTTTAATCGATTAAAACTTCTTTGTATCAGTTAAAATAACTTGAAAAGTTTTATAAGAAAGTTTTAAAGCAAATCAATCGATTAAAACGCGAATCAATCGATTGAATCACTCAGAAAATGTTTGTAAAATGTTTTAAGCTGATATAAACATGGTTGTATCAACTAAAAACATTCTGTTAAAGAAACAAGAACGCATTAATGGGTTGAAAGGACTTTTAACAGATTATAACGGCTATTTCAACAGATTAAAACAAACTTTCAACAGATTAATTAATGCGCGAGATTTGAAAATTCTCTTTAAAAACAGTTTTGCTTGTCCAATGGTAATCTTGTCCAATGGTAATCTTGAAAATGTCAATCAGGGGATTGCTAAGAAGCGGAGGAGAGCTCCAGTGGCTTTTTCTCAATCTAATAAAAGTGCCATCAAATTTGACGCCCCAAAATACGAGAGCAACCTCCAAATTAAGAAATGGGTCCAGAGCCTTCAAGATCAAGGGCGAAAGAAAGCTCTGATATTGAGGAAGGTCGATTGTAACGAAAAATGGGAGTCATCCACGGAGGAGGCTTCGTATCCAGGAGAGATGCTTCTGAAGGTCCAACAGTGGTCGACGAGTGTGAAGAAGAGAATGTCACAAAATGAAGGTAGTTCTGACCAATGCATTGGTGGATATAACGAGAATCCCCCATTTTTCCAGGTGTCCTCGCTCAAACGATGTGATTTTCGCTTGAGTCACCTTAGATAGCGGTTGATAACAACCGCTTTTAAAAATATATATTAGATAGCGGTTAGGCTTTAACCGCTTTCTAATGTAGTAGTTTAGATAGCGGTTGGCCAAATAACCGCTATCTAAAGTCATATATGTCAAAGTGATCGACTATAATTGGATAATAATCGATCATACTTTTCGCTCAAGCGAGGGTTTCTTCGCTTGAGCGAGAATTTACCCCTTCGTTACAGATTTCCTAGCTCAAGCGAAGGTTTTCTTCGCTTGAGCGAGAGTTCAGTACGTGAAATAATATTATTTTAATACGTGAACGAGTAAACAGTTGCGCGAAATAATATTATTTTATTACGTGAACGAGTAAATAGTGCTAGTTGTGTAAATAAAGTTGCAGAGGTGCTATTTTGGTAAATATTTTTGAAAACAGTATTATTTATGAAAAAAAGTCTATTATCTACATGTCTATAAAATTAAATCATTTTTAATATATATTAAATTGTTAAAAATAAAATATAAATATGTTAATGAAAAAAATATATATATTATATAAGAAAATAAAAAAAATTATTTTTATATTATTTTTATTGTCAAAATAAATAATTATCACGTTGATGATTTTTATTTCGTTAAAAAAATTTCTTATTTAAAATATAGATTCATCCGTGACAAAATAAATATTTGGAACATTTTTATTTAATGTATTAATATTTTATTTTCAACAATTTAATATTATTAACATCTAAATAATAATTAATTAATTATTTTTTTATTTTAATAAATATTAAAATCAAATTTTTACTAAGTAAAATAAAAAAAATAAAATAATGAACTAAAGTCCTTCATCAATTGACGATTTTGGTAAAAAAAATTAATTAAAGTCATTAGCGACTTCAATGAAAAAATCCTTCCTAAGTCGGTTTAAAAAAATGAGATTGTTGTTGTAATCAATATGCTAATAATAATAACGATATTAAAACAGTTAAACATATAATACTTTTATATCTGTGCAGTTGTGGTCAATAAGAAAATTATATTCTTCTTTCTCTACTCTCAGTATTTGTATACATTAGATACCTTTTTCTCACTATCTGTCTAGTAGTGCTAACAGTGGTATCAGGAGCCACTTGGTTCAAGACGATCAAGTGGGTGTGGTGCACTCTTACGAAGAAAAGTGATCTTGAAGCTTTGCTGCGTGTAACGCTTTCATGGCTGCTGGAGGGGTGATTGCTGAAAACTTGCCCGTATTCGATGGCAAGGGTTATTGGGATTGGTGCGTGAAGATGGACGTCATTCTTGGTTTCCAGGATGTGGATGATATTGTCAAGAAGAGATTGCAAGAACCATCCAAGAATGCTACGGATGAGGTGAAGAATGCATACAAGGAGAACAGGAGGCTTGACTACAAAGCTCTAATGTTGTTGCACCAATGCGTTTCGACTACTGTTTTCCAGAAGATTTCCACAGCCACATCTTCTAAAGAAATATGGGATATCCTGCAAGAAACATATGGCAATTCTGGAAAAACTAGAGAAGTTAAACTGCAATCGTTACAACGGCAGTGTGAGTTACTAGGTATGACTGATCAAGAATCAATCGCAAATTACATTGGAAGGTTGCAGATTATAGTTAATTCCATGCGATCTTTAGATGAGCCTATGAAAAACAACAAAGTGGTGGCTAAAATTCTGCGAACCTTAATGCCTCAATTTGATCACACATTGTTGTCGCCATTGAAGAGTGCAAAGATCTTACGAAAATGAGCATTGAGGAATTGCAGAATTCGCTGGAAGCTCATGAACAACGGTTGATTGAGAGAAAGAATCACGAGAAGAGTGCTGAACAGGCTTTCCAAACCAGGGTTGTTAATCAGCGATCACGAGGACGTGGTGGAAGGAGAGGAAGAGGAAGATCACGCAATGGTGGCAGAGCTGGTGAATCCTCTGAACTATCAGATGATGAATCTGGTACAAACCAGAAAGATAGTAACAAAGGAGGAAAGAGTGGCAGAGATAGAGGCAAGAAACCTTATGATAAGAGGAAGGTTCAGTGTTATACATGTGATAAGTTTGGCCATTATTCCTATGAATGTTGGCACAATGACTCTGCTAAACCCAACAAGAAAGAAAATGCAGCTCACTTGGCACAAGAGGAAGGTGATTCAGATTTAGATCATGTTATGCTCATGGTTACAACTAATAGTGGAGAAGATGAATCTTGCTGGTATTTGGACACGTGATGCTCCAACCATATGATCGGTAGTAGAGAATGGCTCATAGATCTTGACCCAAGTATGAGAAGCAGTGTTAGATTCGCAGACAACAGCACAATCACTGTAGAGGGAGTTGGCAGAATCATGATCACTCGAAAGGATGGTAAGATTGTCTACATGAATGATGTGTTGTATGTTCCGAGTATGAAGAACAACTTGTTGAGTTTGGGACAACTACTGGAGAAGGTTTATACTATGTCCATGATTCAAGGTCACATAGAGGTGTATGATGGTAAGAAAAAGTTGATTCTTAAGCCCCCTCTGTCACGAAACAGAACTTTCAAAATCAATTTAAATGCAACATCTATTCAGTGTCTAGCATCAGTAGATTCGGGCATCTAAACTTCAAAAGTTTAGGACAATTAAGTAGCAAGAAACTTGTGAGTGGACTGCCACTAATCCATACCCCGGACAGAACCTGTGAAGGTTGCATTGTTGGCAAACAAAATCGAAAGGAATTTAAGAAATTTGCACCTAAGAGGTCAAAACAGCCACTTGATGTGGTATATTCAGATGTGTGTGGCCCCTTTGATGTAATGTCATGTGAAGGCAACAAGTATTTCTTGGTCTTTGTGGATGAATGGACCAGAAAAATATGGCTCTATTTGCTAAGAGAAAAGAAAGAAGTGTTTGGTTGTTTTTTGAAATTTTATGCATCAGCAGAGAGGCAATCAGGTATGAAACTAAAAGTGTTTAGAATTGATGGAGGGGGTGAGTTTAATTCAATAGAAATTGCAGAGTTTTGTGAATCCAAGGGAATAAATCACGAGGTGATAGCTCCATACACACCCCAACATAATGGAATTGCGGAGAGAAGAAATAGGATGTTGCTTGACATGACTCGGTGTATGATAAAAGCCAAGGGATTACCAAATTATTTCTGGGGAGAGGCAGTTTCTACAACTACCTATATACTGAACAGGTGCCCCACGAAAGCCTTGAAGGAATGCACCCCTAAAGAAGCTTGGTCTGGAGAAAAACCAGATGTTCGTCACTTCAAGATTTTCGGATCAGTTTGTCATAGGCACATTCCAGATGAAAAACGAAAGAAGTTGGAGGATAAGAGTGAGGCTCTCATTTTGATTGGATATCATCCAACTGGTGCTTATAAATTGTATCATCCAGAGAAGAAACAAATAGTAATTAGTAGAGATGTTGTTGTTGATGAGGCTGCACAGTGGAGCTGGGAATCAGAAACTACGTCTGCAGAAAAGATACAGGTGCCATGTATACTTGAAGATAAAACTGTTGTTGTTGCTTCTGATAACAGTGGTGAGCATACTAGAAGATCACAAAGACTAAGGTTTCCTTCCACGATATTGACAGATCATGAGGTGTTGGCTGATAATGAAGTTGACGATAATGGTGATCTCGTGCATCTAGCTTTTCTAGCTGATGCAGAATCACTAACGTGGCAGCAGGCTATTGATATGAGAGAGTGGAAAGAAGCCATGATTGAAGAATTGAAGTCCATAGAAAGAAACAAAACTTGGGAATTAGTAGATTTGCCTCATCATAAACATCCTATTGATGTTAAGTGGGTGTTTAAAACCAAGTTTAAACCGAATGGAAGCATAGCAAAGCATAAGGCCAGGCTGGTTGCAAAGGATTTTCTACAAAGACTAGGAATTGATTTCACTGATGTCTTTGCACCAGTTGCAAGACTCGAAACCGTGAGGCTGGTGATAGCTGTTGCAAGTTGGAAGGATTGAGAAATAAGTCAGCTTGATGTTAAATCAACTTTCTTAAATGGACCTCTAGAGGAGGAGGTATATGTGAGACAGCCACCAAGATTTGAAAGGAGAGGAGAAGAACACAAGGTGTTCAAAATGCATAAAGCCTTATATGGCTTGAAACAGGCCCCACGCGCCTGGAACAAATGTATTGATGCTTTCGTGATGCAAGCCGGATTCAGCAAATGCATCGTTGAATATAGGGTATATGTGAAATCAGTTTCACACAATAGTCTATTGTTGATCTGCCTGTATGTTGATGACTTAATAGTAACAGGAGATTCACAAACTGAGATTGAGCAATTCAAGCAAAAGATGAATTCTGAATTCGAAATGACTGATCTTGGAAGGTTAAATTACTTCCTCCGTCTTGAGTTCAAACACACTTCCAAGGGAATTCTACTGCACCAGAAAAGATATATCAATGGTATTCTGAGTAGATTCAATATGACAAACTGCAATCCTGCTCCTATACCAGTTATTGCTAATTTGAAATTGTCTGAGGCATTTGATGAAAGGATGGTTGATGCAACTCTATACAAGCAACTTGTAGGATCCTTAAGATACATTTGTAACAGCAGACCGGATGTTAGCTATGGAGTTGGTTTGGTTAGTAGATTCATGAATAACCCAAGAACGTCACATCTAGCTGCAACAAAGCATATACTAAGATACTTGAAAGGCACAACAGAATTTGGACTATTTTTTCCTAAGAAAACAAATCAGAATGAAGGAGTTATGGAGGTTTGGACTGACTCAGACTGGTGTGGAGATGTAGTGGATCAAAGGAGCACATTTGGCTATTTCTTCAAGTATATGCAGGCACCTATTTCATGGTGCTCCAAGAAGCAGAAAGTCGTGGCACTGTCCTCATGTGAGGCAGAATATATAGCCTCAGCAGAAGCGGCATGCCAATGT